AGCTGTTCGCGGAGATGTGCATGCTGCCCAAAGCGCGCGGTGGCACGCGTCAATTGCTCTCCTCAACACTGTTGAAGATCTCGGGCCGAGCGAGACGGCCCTTCAGCGTGCAGTGGGGCAAGGCTCACCCTCATCATGCGTTGTGGGCATAAGGCTCGGGAAGAACGTCGAGTGATTGCGCGTCCCAGCTCTATCTTGAGGCTGGAGGAGCGCATGCGCGCAAGCAGCGCGCCATCACGGTGTTTGTGAACATGGACAAATGCTGCGAGACGAGATTGTGGAGTGCTATTATGTGTGAGGCGCGCGTGTTTGATTACCCTGCGAGGCTCATGTGGCCGATCCAGCAGGCATTTATGATTCCACGCGCGGTGCGCACATATTCTAACATGAGCGTCGTGCTCTCTTCGTATCATGGTATTTTGGGTGGTCGCACGCACGCTGCTACTACACTTAAGGTGGTCATGTCTAGGGTCATTGATAAAATGCATGCACGGCGCGTGGATGCGAGGCCCCGAGTCTTGATGGATGACATTGTGGTGCAATGGGAAGGAAACGGCGTGAGAGGCTCCAGCGCATTGCACGCGTGCGCGAAGAACTTCGCAGGCGATTTCCGAGGCCTGGGTATGATATTCTAGCTGTGAAGATCTGGGCATGTTGCCGCCGCGGTCCGGGCGGCCATAGGGTTCCAGTAGGGGGTCAAATGCATGCGTCTGCGGCCTGAGCGGTCACATTCGGAATCTTGGGCGCGAGCTTTACAGTGCCGAGGTTCTGAGGTTCCAGGAGAAGTAGATCATGAAGGCCCCTATGGGCCGAAGTCGGAACGATTGGATGCTGAGCGAAAAAGTTGGGGCGTCGTGGCGAACTCGGCTGTTGCCGGCGCCGGGGCGCGGGCCGGGCGCGAGCGGCGCCGTGGGCATTGTGCTCGAGCGATTGCGTACCTTCGCGGGTGGCGTGATTGGCGCAGCCCGCAATGCTTCGCTCGCGCTGTATTTTGCCACGCAAAAGGATGACTCATTCGACCCCGCATTTGATTGTGGAACGTTCTTGATCAAACACTCTGCCAGTTTTGTTTGGGACAAGCCAGTGCCAGCTTCAGGGGCGCAGTGCGCAGAGATTTTCAAACGCGGGGCCGACGCGGGAGGATGCGAGAGGCCCTGCGGCTGCTCAGTGGCTTGCGTTCTGGAACATGGGTTGGGCTATGCCCTGCCCGTGCGTGTTCAGCGATGATCATTGGCGTTGCCGTTCGCTGCTGCAGGTCGCGCTCAAAGGCAATGAAAATAAGCTGGTTCCACCCGTTCGCAGCTCGCAGATAGATAGGGCGCTGAAGCATTTGCGCTAGAGGGCGGGCGATGGGCGAGCAGAACTGGAGAAGGGCGATGTGCAGAGCGATTTTAAAGCTGCCGCCTGGACCGCTCAGAGGATCTTTCCGTCGGTTGTGGTCCGGAGGTTTGCCGTGCCCAGACAGGGCTTTGGAGTTCGGCCTGGCGTCATGCAGTTAATGTGTACATTGTGAAGCACCGAGGGGTACGTTGGCGCATCAATGGGATGCATGCCTGAAGTTGTTGGAGAAGACGGATCTACTACCAGCGGGGGCCCCCGGGGGGGCGCTCGGGTCTCGTGCAGGGCGCGGGGAGTTGGTGGCCGAGAACGGCGGCAACTGCGAAACCTTTGATGCCACTTGCGGTACCCCGCTGGAACCGCTGTAGCCTGGGCCACCGTCGGACTCGTTTGTTGCGCGTGAAAGGGGGGGCTGCTCGGGTGAACGGAATGCCGCGGAGTTTTGCGACACGTCGGGCGCTCGCAACGCTCGCTCTTCGCCGTGCAGAGTCGGCTGGGCAGTGGTGCAGTTTGGCCCTTTTCACTGGATGGCCTGTCACAGCAAAATGTGGAGGTCTCCATGGTATTGAAAGGTCTGTTCCAAGGGGCGAGAGATTTTTTGGATTGATGGCGCTGAGATCTGTGATCGGGGCCAGGCTCGGTTGTTTCGGGGCGCCCCACTTTCGCGACGGAGGCGAATGAGTGGGGCGCGTCTTCATCGAGAGCGCCACCCACGCATGCCATTACATGGGGTCCATTTCGAGCTGCGCAGAGTCGATGTTGAAAGGTGCAGATTTGCATGGGTACCTTTGCGCAGGGGCCAGAGCGATTTCGTAGGCGGCGGAGCCTGTTTGGTGCATGCGATTGAACATCCATGGGCGGATTGTTTGCGCGCGCTGGGGCCGCGGGCATCCAGGTTGCCGATGTGTTGACGGAGAAACGCGAGGACGTGTTTCGGCGATCTTGCCGCGTCGCGAAGCAGTTGGCAATCCCGGCGCGCAGAGCAGTTCGAATGCGCCGTGAGTCGCAGGAGTTTGCTCCTCAGGCCCCCCCAAAAGAGATGTGCCTCGTGGATCCCCAAGTTTTCGATTGCTGAGCACAACTTTGCGCGGGTCTATGATTATGATTCGCTGATTAGATGCATGTGCTGTTCGCGTGTAGCGCAGACAGCTGAGAGTTTTAA